GAATTTTGACCAATCATTTTACTAAGTTCTCGTGCTTTTCGTTTCATAGCTTCGATTTTATCATCAGAAAATGAACAAGTTGAAGATGCTTTTTTAGATTTTTTTCTTTCATGTCGAGCTGTCATCATTTTTTTTAAATTTATCTAGAAAAAATAAACATGACCATAAAATATGTTCAAAAAATAATAATTCATAGTTTAATTACTTCAGAACCTGTCCCAGCAAATAAGTCTGATGTTTCTACTACACCATTTTCATCCACATCTTGAAGTGTGAAAAGTTCATATAAATAATTTGATTTAAAAAAACGTCGTTGTTTTGGATCCACTAATACTTTATTACTTAAAAATTGTTTAAAAATCTGACGATGATACATCTAAAATATAAAATAATATAGTTATTGCTTAAATAAGATTTTTGTTAACTTAATAATAAATTACCTTTTCTTCTATAGTTCCAGCAGTGAGTAATCTATAAATAGTAACTGAATTTTTTTGTCCTATTCTCCAAGCTCGTTCTCTAGCTTGTAAATCTGTGGCTGGATTCCAATCTGGATCAAATATAATCACCCGATCAGCACCTATCAGGTTAACACCTAGTCCACCAACTTTTGTAGTTAAAATCATAACAAATATTGATGGGTCCTGGAAAAAATTTAATTTATCATTTCTAAGCAAAAAAATTACATTAAAAAAAATGGTTACATTATTAAATTTGTTGATAATAGGTTGACGAGAACTAATAGATGTCGAGCCATTTAGTTTCAAGTACGAGTAATTTTGTTCAGTAATGAATTTTTGAAAAATGTTAAGCATCTTAAAACAAACAAATAACATAATTTAATTAATATACAGTAGTGATTTTGCTATAGAAATATTATATCTTACTTTTACACTTTGAGTAAAGAGCAGAACTCGATGGCCTTGTTTTTTCCACATTTTTAGTAAAGCTTCAACTACAATCATTTTACCAGATTTTTTCCAATAACCAAAAGGACCAGTTTCCTATGAATAAAAAAAATCAATAAAACAATTCAAAACTATAAGTAGGTACATTATAATAAATGTTTATATTTTACAAGATTGGTCTGGAAAATATCGGGATGGTTGCAGATTGTCCTTAATCGAGATATGCCAACAAAGACTTTACAATTAAAATTCATTATTTCAGAAACTATATCTGAATTTTCAAGATATCCTCGATACATTGTTTTTTGTTCTTCTGTTAAGCGACAAAACAGTACTTGCTCACTTTTATCAGGTAAAGATATATGTGACTGAATATCAGCTTTCATACGTCTTAAAAGATATGGTGTTATAGTGTCTTTAAGTATAGTTGCACATTTATAAGCTGTAGTTATCTAAAATGTATTCAATGATTCAATTAAATAATTATAAATTGTTTAATTGTTTAAGTAAATTAATTAAAAATTATACTTGTAATTCAGTAGCATTTGCATAACCTCCATGGGTAATCGGTACAGCAAAGCTTTTAATAAATACTGGTAAAGTCCCAAGTTTACCAGGGAAAATAAAATCAAATAGCGACCATAATTCTTTCAAATGGTTTTGAATGGGTGAACCAGATATAATGATTCTATGACTAGATTTCAATTGCTTTGCAGCTATTGTTATCTATAATGTTGAATTTAATTTTAAGTAACTATATGTTTAAATTTTACAGTATTTTAAAGCAATTAAACATTACCAACAATCTAAATAAAATATTATTTAAACATAATACAAAGTTAAAAATGTTAATTAATAAAATTGATAGAGAATTTATTTACTTTAGAATCAGGATTTCTAATTTTATGTCCTTCATCTAAAATTACATAATGCCAATTATTTTTTAATAAATGATTGATATGTTGAAGTAAACCATTGTAAGTAGTAATTAAAACTCCTTTATTAGTCCACACTTGTTTAATTAAATCCTCTGGTTTGCCTAAAACCAAAATTAATAAGAGTAAAAACAGATAATTATTATTTATTAGTAGGTAATTACAAACAACTAACAAGTAATTTAATATTTCAAATTAAAGTGTTTATATTTCAATAAGCATCATTTTAACAATCAAATTAATAAATGGACTTAAAATTTTAAATATATAATAAGGATCCAAACATATTTTTTTGTTTACTATAATTGAATTGAAAATTACCTACCTTTATAAGATCCAGTTTCATGTAAAACAACAATACGTATAGGTGGACACCATTTATGGAATTCATCAACCCACTGATGCATTAAAGTTGCTGGACAAACAATTAAACTAGGACCTAAGCCACGTATACCAGTTATTTTATCTTTTAAACGACTCCAATAAAGAGCACCAAAAAACACAATCATTTGTATAGTTTTGCCTAATCCCATTTCATCTCCTAAAATACCACCAGAGCCTTGTTGATGTAATTCCCAAAGCCATTTTATGCCAATCTTTTGATATCTGATAACAATAACATTGCATAAATATAAATTATAGATTTATGTATTTATAGAACTACTCTATATGTCATTTACTTGTATAATTTTTCCCAAATTTCTGTAGGAACTTTAAAATAATCCCCATCAATAGAGTGAAATACATCATCATTATCAATAGCTATTTCGGGATTATTTTTTTCATACTCTCTTAATCGACACTCGTAGTTTTCTTCTATTCCATCATCAGATGATTTGTATTGACCTTGAAAAATTTGTGTATATATGCAATAGATGTTTTATTTTAAATACAAAATTAAAACCAATATAGGGATTATTTTATAATTTACTTGAACAACGTCCATGTTCAAAATATTCATCATCAGTATCATTATTATCATCATCACCTGAAGAATGATTATATTTTTGATGATTACTTAATCGTTTTTTCCTTTTAATTTTAACCAAGGAAGATGATTCATTTTCTTAAATTAAAAACAATTAAATATTATTTAAGTATAAATGTATAGGAATATTTACACATTTTACTATAACCTAATTTTTGTTTACCAGAATCTGTTGATGGGAAATATTCACTTCCTGATTCTTTTGACTTTTCAATTAGTTCTTTACTTTCCATATTTATTTTTAATTCTTTTTTTGTACTGGATATTTTAATTTTAGGTTTATGAATCATTGCTGAAAGTTTAGATTGAGATACCAAATATTTTTCAAGCATATCTTCAGAGCTGAAAATTGCCAGGCCCAAATACATTTCAAATATTTAATGAACATCAATGATCTACATAACAATAGTATACCTTTTAGAATTTTTTTGTGAAACATCTGTTGAACCAAATGGTGTCATTTCTCCTGTCCTAATTTTACGTTCATTTTCAGTTTCTTCAATTCCTAAAACTCCTAATGTCATTGTAGGAACATCAATAGTACTATTAATAGTTTTACTATCCAATACTTCATTGGTAACTTGTTGTAAAACTTCTTGTTCAAAATGATTCACATCATACACAGTTAAACCTGTTAGATCTTGCAATTCTAAAGGCTATAAATAAAAATATACATACATTTGCATATTATTTATAATTTTAATTTTACATGTATTTGTTAGTACTTGATTAGTTTTAGGTATAGCTTCAATTTTGTTCCTGTCAATGTTCATTACACTACTATTAATAGAATCTCTTTCTATATCCATGACTTCTAAATTATTACTAGATAATTGATCCAATGATTCCATCATTAAAGACTGAAAAATAAAAATGTTGATTGGTGTTTTAATATGTATAATTGTTTGTTTGCTTAACAAGACATGTCTTATATACAATCATCAGGGAATCAAACCACACCTGATGAAATTGCATATAAATAATAAAAACCACCTCCACCAAATGTTGTACAAAGATTTTTTACATAAAATGTTGTATGTTATCTTTGGTTTGATATCCTGACAATTGATTAAATCATTGTTAATGATTACCTTCTATTGAAAGAACATTCCGTCTCAAAAATGATTGTAGACATATAAAGTTAGTAAAAGAAACAGTTTAAAATAAAAAAGAACAATATAGGTAATAATTCAATAATCTTACTATTTTTTGTTTAAAAATTACAACAATAATAATTAATGACTACAATGATTTATGTTTATAATAATTCAATAACATACAACATCAACTATAATATATAGATTTTTACAGTATTAATCATATTTCGATGGTTCAGTCAATGAGTACATAATTTCCATTAAAATACAAAACTTCTAAATTAAAAAAAAAAAAAAAAAAACAATGTGACAATATAAATTTATTTAGAACAATAAATATAATAAAGTATTAAAACAAAATTGAAAATTACTCCTGCCATCAAAATTCAAAAGAAACTAATATTTTTGAGAGTAGAATTGACACACACTACATTGTTTAATAACACATTTTACATTATGCATACACTTATAAAACAATCCTAAATAATTAAAAATGTTCTGTTACTAACAAAAATCACTAGGGCATAAATATTGTAGTAAATTAATGTTTAATTTAAAAATAATTTTATGTAATACAGTATTTTATATTAATAAAATAATTTTAACTCTTAGATTTAAATTATTACAGATCTTAAATTATAAAACTCAATTATTTAAAAATAATAAATATAATTTAGCATCATAATAATAGGATTTATAGATCAATTTTGCATAAGGAAACAACAATAACAATGAAAGCTAAGAAAATTATAACAAAATGTTAAACAATTAATGTAAAAAATAAAAAAATAATTTGTAGTACTTTTGAAGCGTTGAAAATGTAAGAATATTAATTGATGTTTTATGAAAAACCCAATATGCATAAGTGTATAGATTATATAAATATATATATACATTTTTTTAAAGTAAAAAAGTGTGTATAATTCCAAAAAAATAAATTATTATGGATGGAATCACGTATTAAGTAATATTAGATTTTAATTATAAAATAATACATAACTATAAATGGCAAAAAAACACAAAGCTGGAGAATAAATTAAACTATTTTAAAAGAAACATGATCCAGCTTCACTATTTAGAAAATTGTGTAATTATTTTTAACTTTATTGAGATTATTATAATTTAATATAAGACTTTGTTTATAACAGATGGTAGTTTATATAATTTAATTTTATCATATACAATAATATCTGAGCTCAAAAACCACTTATCAGTTGTATAACTTACTAATAACAATAAAGTTATAATTTTTTTTTTTTTTAATTGCACTCATTCAGCTGTTCCTGTTAAATAGGACAAATATGAATAAAATCTAATAACTAAGACTAAAAATAATACTATTGATGGTAACGCAAAAAATAAGTGGAAATTTGGAGTTTGTTCTAACTCTTTGCACCTCAATGTGATTTGCTCTAATTCATATTTTAGATTGTTCTTTTCTGTTAAACATAAATCATATTCATTACGAATTTGTTCTAATTCATTTTGGTCAAATACTGAATCTTCTTTAGTGTCCACTGTATCAGAGTTGATCTCCTGAGTCAAGACTTTGTTTCCAATATCATTATTTTGGGATGTATTATTTAAACATTCGGTTTGAGATATTTTTATATCATCTAAACTATAAAGATTTTTGGAGTTATTGAAAGAACAAAGATTTTTTTGCAGTATATCTGGCATGTTATGTATATTATTAGAGTCAATACTTGATATCTGACACAAATATTCAGACATCAACATTAGTACAATATCTTTACAAGAAATCTCTTTCTTAAGATGTTTAATAGTAGATTCTTGATCATCCAAATTAGTAATACAGTCTAGCAGTACATCTTTTGCTTCGGATAGTTTAAATTCAATGACATCAGATTTTTGTTTATAAAAATCTGTTTGAATCTCAATGTCTTTAGATAAAACTTCAATATTTTTTAAATTATCATCATCCAATATAATCATTTTTAATTGATCAGGATCTATATTGTCTGTATCATTAACATTTTTAATCTTTACACAGTTCACTAACAATTCTTGATTAAGATCAAGTTCTGTTTGTAACTGACATACTTGATTTTCTAAGTCAGCTTTTTGTTTTATATGTTTTTGCATTTGATTTTGTAAGGAATTCATTTGATTTAGGTGTGTCTGGCGGTCTTGTAATATATGTACAATATAAGACATTATATCATTAAAGTACTTGTTAAGAGAAATATCTTCAGTAAGCTCTTGTTCATTTTGTAAGGTCAAGAGAAGTACATTGCGTGTATTGATCTCATAATTCATTTTAGCTATTTCTGCTCGTAATCTTTCAATTTCTTCACATTTATTATGAAAGTTTGTTTCTATTTCATTTTTGGTTTCCTGTAGAGTTTTTAATTCGGTTACATGTAATTCTTTTAATGCATCTAATTCTTTTACACTATTTTCATGGTTAGCAACTTCTGTATTCAACTTAGAACAAACTTCTTTAATTTCATCTTGTGCATCATTCAGATGCTTCATCAGAGCACTTTGTTCAGTTATGGAATGTTTCAACAGACTTTCTAATTCTTGACATTTTTGCATCAATTTTAATTTTTCTTCCATTTCTCTTTTTAAACAATCCTTAGCCATTCCTTGATATGAATATTTATATTTTTTTAAACCACATATTTCTTGTTTCATTTCGTCTTCCCCAAAGTCTTTTTTGTAATACTGCAGTTGATTTTCTAAAAATTCAATTTTGGATAGTAAACGGTCTTCAGCAACAAGAGCTTTCCAACTATTATCTGTTTCTCCGATTATATTGGATAACAGCCTTTCCAAGTTTAATAATTTGTTTTCTAAATTTGCTTCCCTATGCATTGCATCTCGTATATAAGCATCTATTGTGTATAAATCTTGAGTGGATACATCACTTATGAAATTCACAACAGGATTAGATTTAGCCTCTGTACCATCAGCATGATATAATTTTAAAACAGCTGTAATACAGCCATGAGATATGTTTTTAGAGTTTTCAATCACATCAACACCAAATTGGACGACATCTCCACTAAACACTTCTTGAGGTTTAGACTCTTCACCACTTTTACTAAGTCTGTGGTTGTTAACAAACGTACCGTTACTGCTTTTCGTGTCTTGTAAAAAGAATTTTCCATTTTCATGCCATATCAGGGCGTGGTTTCTTGACAAAACTTTACAATCAAAAATCCCATTATGTGGACTGACTTTGGCTTTAGCCAACAGACGGCCAATCTTAACTGGTTGATCAAGGGTTAGTGTACGCTCTTCAAATGGATGCGAGTTGGCACAGTACTGAAGGATTGCTTTGCAAACAGAATTATTTACTGTTATTGTGTCGTAATTCATATTTTCAATCATCATGGTTGGTTAATGTACATTATTGAATTTTTAAACCTAAATCACTGTTACAATAAATAGTCTTAAGTTACCTTATCGTAGTATTAATTAGTATTTTGAAACAAATTCGATTCGACAAAAGTTTTCGAGAATACTTTACACATAAACTAATAAATGATAATAAAAACGTATAAAATGAATCTACGCCACAACAATAATTAAAAAAGGCAAGGAAAAAAAGAATAACTAGAAGAGCCAAGAAACGATTGATAGAACAATAATTATACGAAATATCTATCATTTATCGATGGAATTCGTCTCTTGATAACGTAATTATAGTAGTAATGTAGTATTGTGTCAACACATTATTATTTTCATATATATATATATATATATATAAATATATATTTAAGACAAACATGTATGGTGAAGAATTTCGCAGTGTAACCAACACTATCGTGTTCGACGCAAATAAAAATTATTATTAGCATAAGCCATAATTTCATTGTTTTTAGGTGTTATCGCGAATTCGAATCCAAACATCACTTATCACATAACTGACATAACAATAATATAAGAATCATTAGAATCTCAACTGCACTCTGCAGTCTGCAGTGTCTGGTGTCTTAACTCTTATTTCAGTTATTTCTTAAGTGTCTTGTCGATTGTCCATTTCCAGAGTGTCGTTTGCCGACGAAAGCATTATTTTCGATTGGTAATTGACGATTTTTTTGATCGGCATATCAAAACGTTAAACAGTACATACGACGTTTCATTATTTGATAAAAAAGATGAAATAGATTGACGTAAATTTTCTTTACTTTTTATTAGGACTCAATCATTAAGTGCCGGTCAATTTTTATTCAAAGTTAACGCTTCGACGTTTTTCTCGCTACGTATTTTAAACTTGGAAAAAATAGAGTACTATTCTAGAACCAAATATGGGTAAATCTTATTTTCTATCAACGGTTAATTGTTTGGACATGCAAATTGATTAGATGACTATCTAGTACTCTGGGTGTCTGATGAATTATACTTAGCCACAATGAAAATAAAAATCAATAGTCTTAAATCTTGCCTTTTATTTTCAGCTATTTCCACGGGCATGTCATTTCTTATATCAACATTATTAGCTTTATCGTTATTCTCGGTAATGCAGCTCAACAGCAAATGGTTGACGTCTAGTTCAGTGTTGGTCATAAGTACCGGTTTTCTGGGCTCAGTGTTGTTTACGCTGTCTTTGACTGTATCCTTTTAAGTTCTTATTTATTTAATCATGTATAATATTTTAATTATTTTTTAACAAGAAGTGTATAAGACTAACTAATTTGGTAAACTAGCAGAACTAATAACCTTTTGATAAATTTTTAAAATAATAAAATGTATCTTTGTGTGTGTTCACATTTGTAAACTAATGAGTAAACAAGTTAATAAGTATATCTTGGTTAAGAAAAAAAAAATAAAGTATAATAATTTTGCCCTGCACTTACAAATATAAAAGAAATAAATAATTACAGCATAAGTACCTACCTATAATTTTATACATCTTTCATAAAAAAAAGACTAATAAAAATTTAATTGTGTTGTTATATGTTTTATAATTTAAATAGAAGTTAAAAGTTTGCATTATGTTTCCTTAGCTAAACATTTACCAGGCTGTAAGTAATCTAATGACGCTACTTTTGGGAGAAGGATATCAAGCCAGTTTATTTCCTGAAAGTAAGTAAAATAACTAAATTAAATAATAAATTACCAATTAAGTATTACAATTTAGTTTAGATTAAGTATATAATATAATGAATGTTACCTATTATTATATATTATTATTAAAATTATTTCTAACCAATACATCAGTAATGTGCTGAACAATTTTCTGAACTGAGGTAAACTACCATTTAACCATTATCCGCACCTGCACCTTAATCTACGGTTTTTTTTTTTTTTTTTGTAATACCTATAAATATTGTTATTAAAAACTTTTTATTGTACTAAATCCATTATTCAGTGTCCACTTACTTATTTTGGCCTTGAAGCAATAACCTAAAAAAAGCCTACTTCAATTCGCTGCTGTTCTAGAGTATAAATATATTTTTATATTTTGGTGGTTTCAGGACCAGGTGAAAGGTTTTTGCCGTCCATAGGGTATAAAATATTTCTCACCTAATTCAGTATATTGATATATTCTAAATAGATACTATCGTATTTAATAATTGTTATTCCAAAATGGGTCAAATTCAGATATTAATTCTAATGAATAATTGACATAAGAAAATTACCATTTTATTAATATTTTATCTAATAATATTAAGCCTGTTGTCACTTATTGTATGTAAATAATATTTAATATTAAATTAAATTCTGATACAGATTTTAGTATTCATTTATAGGATACAACTAACTTTGAATATATAAATATTATTTAAATAATACTAATATTGTTTCATTTAAAAATATTATGTTTTATACCATAAAAAAAAAATGTTATTTTGTTGGTGCCATAAGATGTAGCTTAAACAGTCTAAGTATAAATACAGTCTTGAGTTGCTCCTTTAAATATGAGGCAAAAATAAATAAAAACATTTTTTTTTAAATATTTTTATAATTATTAACTACTATTTCATATAATAATTTTTATTGTTAATAAAAACAATCATTGTTTTTTCAGTTTTATTGTCATTGATGTTCACTTTTTTCACATGTGTCTCCATCCACAGAGTATGCGCTACAACTGGGTAAATTATAAATTATTTACATTTATTAGTTACAATTTTTATAAATTTTATTTTACTTCAATGCTGGGCTAGTTAATTAATTATTAAACTTTACAATAAAATTAAATGCAAAGTTCAAGTTATTAAAATACTAGCTTGAGTTATTAAGTATTTTCTATTTAAAAATTCATTTATTTTTATATTTTTCATATTAAAACATTTTATGGGGCATTTTACCCTTATAATTTGACTATTTCATTAGTGTTCTACAATAAATGGCAAAAAATAATATAGAAATTCCTACTATTTTAACACTCAAATCAGATCAATATTTTTCCCAAATAGGTAAAACGTTGTTAAATAAAACTCTATTTCATATTTTAAATTGTAAATCCTTTATACAATTTAAAAGGTGATTAAACCATAACTGAAACATTTAAGAACACTGTATATGGTGTAAACTTAATTGAAATGAATTTGATTTTTACTTAAATTATAATAACAACCTATTTTATCTTTCTTTCTTAGTATTTTTTTTTTATATTTATATTATCTCAGTTATTTATTATTATTATTAAAGTTTAAAATCAAAAAGAAATCATTATACTCAATTATTTTTAATATTAAAGTAAACTTGTTGTTGAATTTAAAGGCAAAATATTATTCAAGGCCCTTCATAGGTTGTTTTAGACTTTAATTTTGAAGCAAGTTATGATAATTTTAAATTTGTAAATATTAATAATAACCTATTAAGGGTTCTGCAAAATATTTTAACTTTTAAATTTGATATTAAGTCAATCATACTCAACTACTATAAATAATAGAGAAAAATTAATTTTTAATGTAAAGTTTGCTGTTTGATATGTAAGACTGAATCAACACATGCAGGTATAACATTCTCTTAATTTAAAAATTTCCAATGGGACATTTTTAATTTTTTTTTTCTGATAAAGACAGCAAACTAGTTTAGTTCATTTCATGTATAAGTTATGAAAAAAAAAAAATAATAATTTAAGGTTATATACTTAGTAACTTTAGTACAAAATATTGTAATTTGAACCATTCATATTTTTAAACAAAAATTAACACAATTATAGCTTTTTTATTTAAAAACACACTATTATTATTAAAGAATTAAACAATACATCAAAAACTTTTTAGGCTATTAGTGTTTAGTAAAATATTATTACAATAGTATAAAATACAATCATTTCAATTAACAACATAAGTATCTATTTTGTTTATTACCTACGAGTATGTTTTTCTCATCTTTCTGCTAGTTAATACTCAGACTTGTATAATAATAAAAATATATTGATTAATATTAATGTGTTACTTTTTACAGTTTGCTGTTTTCTTTATTTGCTCTTTACAATATTTACAATATTTCTCAAAAGACATACAATTCCAGTTCATTGCTCAAACAGCCTATTGTTCAAAATAAAAAGAAGAAACATTAAATGCCAAAATAAAAGCCAGTGTATACTATGTTCAATATTTATTATGTTTTAAGTTTTTGATTTTTACATTTATTATTTATTTTTCATTGTCACTCCCTTAATTAAAAAAATAATTTAAATTATTGTATTAAAAGCAAGTTTTGATTACTTATAACTGAATTATTTATTTGAAATATTTAAAATAGTAATATTTTATATTTATTTAAATTTATTACGAAATTATACAATTATTGAATTATCAGAGTCACTAAAAATGAAATTCTTTATGATCTATTATTTATACTTATTTTGTGGATGATATTTTTGAATAACTTTTCTTATAATATCATTAAATAAAACTCAATAGTTAATTTTAATATTATATACTTATATATTGTCTTATTCTGAATATTAGAAATTAAAAATCAAATTGAAAAAAAGAAAACTATATATTAATTTTTTGTTTGTTAACCTTTTATTTTTTAAATGAACAAAAAAAAAAATGTTGCAATTATATGTTTATAAACATAAATTATATTTGATACAATGTTTTTTTTAAGTTTGTTAGACAAATAATGTAAACAAAATATATTCAGTAGTAGTAATAATTTTTATGTTTTATAAATTATTTAAATTGAATAAATAATAATACAAAAAAAGTTGTTTATGCAGTTATTATAAAAATTATAGATTATTACTAATGATACTAAAATCTATAAAAGTTTGTGTTGAATGATAAAAATTGAAAAAAAAATTTGAATAAAACATAAACAGACGTATCAATATAATAAAATCAAATGCTAATAATTAAAAATTTTCATCTCACACAACTTAAAACTACTATACTCAATTATGTACCTAAGTTTTAGTTATAGACTTGATCAAAGGTATTATCAATGAGATTAAGTTCTACCTGGTGCACTGAGCTAAAGTATATAATAAAATATGGTTTTTAGACCTTCATTATTAATTATACAATAGTTTAACAATTTTAAAATAAAATAAATTTATTACATAATAAAATAAGTTTCTTATGTAACAGAAATTTAAAGCGTAGATTTAATCAAGGAATTTGTATTTGGCCATATTGTTGGTTGTTGCATACGCTAATATAATTGGAACTTTTTAAAAAGTTTAAATAAAACTGTTTGATATTTTCAGTAAACTAAATTAATGTGTATTAATTAAATACAACATGTCATGTGTAAGGATTTAATTAAAATAAATTGTTTATGCCCTATAAAGATAGCCAAAATTTGTTTGTTATCACACTGTTAGCACTTGAACAGTGTTTTCAATTACTTCAAATGTTATTTATTAATAACAGTACAACTGAACAACAGTCTTACACTCGTCTTCATTGATATTAATATATATTAGAATGTCGTGCACTGTTCACCATAGATTCCACTTTATTAGCTGTATCTCTGATAGCTTCTGGTAATTCGGGTAAGTCTAGAGTAGTAGTTAAGTGTGCAGATAGACGTTTATACATAGAATCTTTTTTAGATTTTCCACTAAAATGTCAAAATGAATAAAATTATTAAACAGAATATGAAATGGTAAGAAAACATCAAAAGTAAGCTCAACATTGAATATTGACATCCAACTAAGAATATCTTACCAAATAAATCTACAGAAAGCACACGCTATATAAACAGTCATATTGGTACGTTTTTAATAGGCTTGGACTGTGCATCGTTGTCTATTTGAGTTGTTTTCAATCTACATTATATAATATTTACGTAAAAAAAAATATATATATAAGTATGCCTAAATGTATCAACAATAATCTTAACAAAACAAAATTAAATCATAAAATAATCTTGTTAAGTGCATGCATTGAATATAATACTTGCATTATAGAACTATAAGTGTAAACTTTGAAAAAGTATCTACCTACTCAAAAATCTAAATTATGAATATATACAATTGTAATGTAACTTACCGCCTAGTCTGCTCATACTTGATTTGTTGACTAAGGAATAAAGCATTTTTAAGTTGTTCTTGAATATTATTCAATGGTTCTTCGCAATTTTTGATAGAATTAATAGCTCTAATTCATAACATCAATACACGAATGATAAAAACGTAATAATTAATTAATCTCAAGTGAAAAAATGGTATTATTACCCTAATGCATATTCTACATCATAATAGTGTCCTTGTAAATCCTTATGAAGTTTTTGAACTTGTACTCGTTTCTCTATCATAGGTGGTACAGATTTCCGTACATGTTCTTGAAGTCGATAAAATGCCAAGGATGGTTCATTTGCAACAAAATGAAGATTTTCTGATAAAATTCCAGTGGCTTATTTTGAAACAAAGTAAACAAAATAATGTAATTGATAAAGTTTGATTATATTAAATGTAAATACATACCACGTCTTGATTTTGCTTGTAAGTCTGGATCGTGAATTTCAGTCATGATCAAAATTTAAAATATAGGTAGGTACAATAATGGTTTTTCAAAATTAAATTTTACAGTTTGTAATAGTTTTTTATTATTATATGGTAGTCTTACTATTGTAGTAATACTTCAACAATTAAATAATTTCGTGATATTAAATAACAAATCGAATAGTATTGAAATAGACTCTTGCGAAATATTATTAAGTATTAAACAATAATTTTATAAGTCACGTTTATAAAGCGTATTTTTAAATACAGAACTATGGTTTAAGTCATCTGTCAAAGTGTAAGAGATAAACTACTAAAATACTTTATAGTAATTCCTAATTACTAATTAATTGATTTATTAATTTATTTGTATTTCATTTCATCGTCTCATACCATATCGCTTATATGAGATGTATTGTATAGTGTATACACCCACAGTCAATATTTATTATTTAATTCAAGAATACGCCTAACAAGTTACTACCCTTAGATACTAATGAATAATGATACTATCTACGGCTTGAGATCATCATAGAATATAGATCATAAATTTTGATCTAAGCTTTGATAGTCAGATGCTACCTAATAAGTGATAAATATTATCAACATTAGTGATTACAATAGATAATTTATTATGATTACATCGTGTATAAACTTTATAGTATCATGAATTTGAGATTATATTAAATATATTTATTATTTTACTAGCTTTGTAAACACAACTCTGAACAGGTCATATTTAAATTATTTAATATTATAATAAAAATTATAATTTAAAGCGACTACTGAAGTGAACGAAAATTTCACTAACTTAAATCATTCAAAATGACTGAAGATATTCGTGATATTTTGGACATAGAAAGGGGATCCGCTCCTCAGGTATCTAAAGAAGACATACTTGGTACACAGACCAAGAAAAAGATCTCACTACCATCGGGCAATCGTCAGAATCGTAGACCAGAAGGAATGGCTCGTGAAGTGTTTGCCTTACTGTATAATGACAAAAAGGATGTGCCGCCTGTTATTGAAACAGAAACCGGTAATTATTTTATTTGATTGATTTTAAGACAGATTTTTAATGATCCTAATTTAATTGTTTAGGTCCCACTTATAAGCTTCAAAAAGCTAGATTGGGTATGCGACGTGTTCGCCCTTGGGTATGGGCTCCTTTTATCAACCCAGCTCGGGCAGATGGTGTTCCTTTTTATCATTGGCGAAGAGTTGCAGATGAAGGAAAAGAATATCCATTTGCTAAGTTTAATAAGGTATTATTTATAAATATTATTTATTTATTAAAATATTAAAATATATTATTATTGTTAAATAGAAAATAGAAATACCCAAATATACGGATATTGAATACAAAGAAAATTTAATGTCAGAAACATGGACTCAAGAAGAGACTGATCGTCTTTTTGACATGTGTGAATGGTTTGATTTACGTTTTATAATCATTCAGGCTAGATGGAATCTTGGAGAATATGAGAATTGTGTTAAGCGATCTACTGAAGATCTGAAAGATAGATATTATTCAGTGTGTAATACACTAACAAAGGTTGTAAACAAAAACTAATACTTGAATCATATTTACCAATAATTTGTATTTTATTTATTTAGATTAGAGGAGGTAGTGTCAATGAATCAAAAATGTATGATGCAGAACATGAAACTCGTAGAAAACAACAACTTGAAAGACTTTATAGTAGAACTCCTAAACAAGTATTTATAAATATACAAAAACATTGTATAGTTTTATAGATATTATTTTTTAATTAACAATTTTTAGATTGAGGAGGAACAAATGTTAATACAAGAAATGCGAAAGATTGAAGCACGAAAACGTGATAGAGATCGTAAAACACAAGATCTACAAAAATTAATAAGCGCTGTTGATAAACAAAATGATAGCCGTAAAAGTCTGAAAATTGACAAAAAAACTACTAATCACCGTAAACGTCCTACTGTTCCAGTTAGGCCGACCCGAGTTGATCCAAACGTAATGTTTAACTTATTTTTAATCTTATAATTTTATTAAAATATTAATTTTTAGAACTTTGAAGCTACTACTATTAAATTTCCGGACATTAAAAATAGTGGTGTATCTACTCGTTCTCAAAGGATGAAAATACCGGCTAATGTTAGTCAAAAAAAAGTCAAAAATGTTGAACAGGCTCTAGAGTCACTGAAAATTAGTGAGTATTAAAATGTGTTTAAAATGATATATTTTATTAAAATTATTAATTTTTTTTTTTTAGAATTAAATCCCATTCCAACTGAAGAAATATGCCAAAATTACAATGATCTACGTAATGAAATAGTATTGTTGAATGAATTAAAAGCGGCATGTAGCTCTAGTGATTTTGAACTACAAACATTAAAACATCAGTATGAGACATTAAATCCTAATGGGGTATGTAATTTGCTAGCTGTATTTTAAATATATTAAACATTTTTTAATATCTGTACTTTTTGATAGCTTTTAAAAATTGATCCCCAACTTATGGAAGAAATGGCTAGTTTAAGTGTTGATGAAGAAGAGAATGAAGAAAAAACAGACTCTAAAGTAAAGATAGAAGTTAATGATCAAGAAATGGAAGATGTTTCTGATCCTAATCTTCTACCTAAGAATGTCTTAGATATAATCTAATTTATAATCTTCTAATGTTAATAATTTAACATTTTTATTATTTAATTATACTTTGTATTACACTTTCTTTGAAGATTATACCCATATATTTAAATTATATTTTTTTAAACAAATAATTTATGACATTTGTATATATTATAACTATTTTGAACTATTATAATAAATATTTCTAAGGTTTACTTAATAATTCTTTATTGTTGACATTATAGGATATTGTAATATATACAATCCTTTCCATATCAATATAGTTGAATTATAATTTCTTAATAAATTATTGCATTTTTCATAGTTAAGGTTAAGTACTATTTTATTATGTCTAAGCTCATAAATTCACAAACATAACTTTTTTATTATATATAAATTAGGTGGTTATTGATAAAATATGATAAAACTAATTAAATTTAATAAAATATAAAGACTTTATAAAAGGAATCTTAGGTAGATATTCTGTCAAACGTATTAATTATTTCATTTTTGATTCAATCATTCAAACAAATGGTCATTAGACATTACTTACTTAATAAGACCTGGCAAGTACCAACAATTGATTTTTTGATGCTTTATTGTTTGAGACAAAGCACTAATTTCTTGTAACTCTTATAAAAATACTATCCGTGTTGTAATATTGCCTTGAGTTAAGATTGTTTTTTTGTAGTTATCGTATAAAGTTACAAGTTGGATCTTTAAATATATTAAAATGATAAAATTGCATAATATTTCCTGTAAATCTAAAAATTATCTATATATTGCATTGTATTAACAAGAAACAATATTATATTATGTATTTATCCCTTTTGACCAATACTTTTTTTGTGATTTTTAATTAAGTTCCAATATTTAAGCAAGGCATTTTTTTTTTTATCTTAGTAAATACATTTTTGATCGTGTGTGAGGTCAAAGAGTTATAATATAATATTTAATATTTTAATGAACTAAAGGAATTTTAAAGTTGGGAATTTGAAATAGCTTTTGTCACACACACACACATCAATAATATAGGTATTAGGTACATCATCTTCATGCATATAATGATATAATATTAATTATTATACACATTATCTATAGGCTATAACTCTTATAATATATTTTAACTTAATATATGCATCAGCTATTATCGGTGCGTTTGTAAATGTAATGGAAAGTTAATAAAACAAAAAATAATAAATATTAGGGTTAAAAATGCTAAAATACACTCGCCATTTCCTGTATTACGAGCACCAAAACCCACGTATCATAAATTATAGAATATTGGGATACGAAGATATCCTCAACATTTTGACTTATTACTCTGCTTACTACAGCCTTAAATACTTGTAACTCAAAAACTACTCGTCCGAATTTCGATTTTTATAAACAAAAATACTCCTAAAAATATTCAGTTTCGTACAATAGAATTAAAAATGTTTAAAAAAAAACAAAAGTTTGTGAAATAACTTCGTTTTATTTTTACTGGAAATTATATACGAAAATATTTTCAAAAACATTAATAGATTTTGAAATAATTAGACTATTAGAGTTCGTTGTTAAACAATCACTCGGTATGATGAACTTAAATTATGTTTGTTATCATCATGGCTTTATCACATATATGAATTATGAACACAGTCAATTGTCACACTGAACGGTAAAGTGAATTATAATTATTTATAATATTTATGTTATAGTGAACTACCCAACGCTGAAGTTCATCTACTGTAAACCGCAGAGTTATTATATGTTGATGACTAGAGCTTGCTCATTGCTAAATTAAACAAAAATTAAATTGACTCTTGCAGTTGCCGCAGTTAACTTTCATCTCGGTATTTCGTATACACTGTTGTTGACATAATACAAATTTTAGTTTCAACTTTTTACTATTTCTATATTTGCTTTAATTTCAGTATTTAAAACGTTTCATGATTATGCTTAATTCCAAAATTAATTTGATAACAAAGAAAACAAATATTGCAAGTTCTTTTATTGTTTTCAGGTAAAAAAGTTACTAATATTAATCATACTTTTTTAAGTATTATGATATATTATGTCTTTACAGTTAAGGCATTTGTTACCTATTATACTTGTGTTTGTTTTAAAAAAGAATTAAAATTTCAGATCCTTAACACAAAATTATGTAAAAGAGACCGTAAATACTCACGAAGTAGAACATCATTCTAATATGAAAGACTATTGGTGGGATAGTAAAGGACCACTGAATGCATTACACTCTTTTAATCCATTGAGGTAATTTATAATTAACTCTTTCAAGTGTACCTAATCAATTATAATTAAGATAATTTAAATTAATGTTGAATTAGAGTATCATTTTTAATAAATGGATTAACAAATATGAAAAAAATTGAAACCAAAAATATTGGAACTCGTCAGAGTCTAGAAAATATAAAAATACTGGATGTTGGTTGTGGTGGTGGAGTCTTAACTGAGGTATAGTTCTAAATATTTAATTTAAGTATATGCTAACACTTATGAATTGTTTTAAAAACTTATATTTATGTTTAGGCATTAGCACGTCTTGGCGGTAATGTAACCGGAATCGATCCCAGTAAGGAACTAATAACTATTGCCAATGACCATTCTGTGATTCTTAGAAACAAAAATATCAAGTAATTTAACAAAAAGTATTTATTTTCTATGTATTTTTAATATTTTTCATTTTCTTTGTAGATATTTCAATGAATCAATTGAAGAGCATGTATTATCAAACACAGAATCATATGATGCAATTATAACTTCAGAAGTTTTGGAACATGTATCCAATAAATATGGCTTTTTAACAAACTGTATTGATTGTTTAAAGGTAGTTCTAAATTATTTTTATGTACATACTTAAATAGTTGAATGAATTGATACGAGATAATTTTTATCGATATTCTGATTTTCACGTGTGACAGCAATTTAACTGTCTATGGCAAAATAGTGTCTTATTTTACTTCAAGTATAATCTCATTTGTATTGGAGTTATTGGATTAAAAAGTACAGCTACTTAGATGTTATATTTATGTCTTTAAAGAATCTAATTACATGTTTTTATAATAGTTAAGCCACATCTATTACTTATTAGTTACATTTATTTAAATCAATTATAATCAAACAAATATGGTTGTATTAAGCTGTGATTACTACTGTACAAATATTTACAAAAACTAAAACAATTATTTTATTATTTTACAGCCTGGAGGATCTGTTTTTATAACGACCCCAAATAGAACAATTTGTTCATGGTTAACTGTAAAAGTGGTAGGAGAAACATTTGATTTTATACCTAAAGGTACACACGAATGGGAAAAATTTATATGTCCTCATGAATTGCAGTCAATTTTAGAAATTAATTGTAAGTGTTTATTATTATATTATTTATTATTTAAAGACCTATAATAGTATTTGTAGTTTTCCTTTATTAATCAAACATATTATAAGATTATAAAATTATAGTTAAAACATTTATATTTATTTTTTTTTTTTGTTTTTACTTTACTTATCTAGGTAAATGTGATACTATTTCAATAAATGGACTATCATACAATCCTTTCACAAACCAATGGAGTTGGACTGACTCAACTGACATATCTTATGCCATACACGCAGTGAAAAGCACATAGCTAATAGCTACCACCTACTATTAACTGTTATTTTGTATTAGCTATTATATTATAATATGATATATTAATATTTATATAAATTTATTTGTTATAATAATATATAGTACTATGAAGTTATAATTTAATCATTCAATCTATTTTTATCTTTTGGTTGTTAAATATACTAAAATGTTTTTTTACCATCGTCTAAACAATATCTATCATATAAAAATGTAAATATTTTTCTTAAATTATTTAAATAATGTGTTTTTAATTAAAATATTTTTTATGAGTAATAAATGCATTGGAGTTAATATGTAAACAAGTATTTTTACATATTTTACTCATTCATGTTTTATAATTTAATTGAAAATTTTTATTATTTATAAAATAGATAAAAATTTCTGTGTTTATAATTGTATGTAACATCTTATATGTATACAATTATATAACCAAAGTTCTGGATTTACTAGTTACATTACTATAAATCATTGAAATCTCAAAAAAATAATTTAAACATAATAAAATCAGAAAAAAAGCTCATGCAAAATAATATCAAACTGTGAAAAGTATATTTATACATCACTATATTGTTTTTTCTATATCAAGTATGTATTTGTAATGATCAAATTTTAATCCTGTTAATTATTATAACATAAAAATAAGAATAATATTGCATAAATCAGTAATTAACTAGTAAAAAAAAAAAATTAAATAAACATATTATAAACAGGGAGAAAAGTAAATACCAAATTTTTATTTTACACACTTAAAAGTTTTAGCCAACATAATTCTAAAGTTTATATGCATAAATATATTTTATAAGGTAAATATAAACCACAAAAAATAATTTGGATTAGAAAAATTATATGAACATTTTGACAATACCAAACTAATCATAAATTATTATTTAATTCAAGTAGAAAGAAGTAATAAAATATTAAAACAAAATATATAAAAATATTTATGGTTAATTAATTTATTTCTATATTGTTTAATATATGTATACAATTAATCAATTTAAATTGTGTTATGTTTCATGTAACAGCTATTGAGCTAGACAATTTATTATTTTTTTTTTTTTTTTTTTTTTAAACGATTGTGAATTACACAAATTAGAGATTATCATCTAGTCATGGCAATGCAAAACGTATTAAATCAACTTCTACGTCAACAGAATTTTGTTTATGAAATTTATAAGACGCTGGTAGATCAAATCTTAACTCTGCAATAACTTTAGAATGAACACCCAATTGCCTTGCCAAGGATAAAACACGTTTTCTTGTGCTTGTTTTGTGGAGTGAATAAACAGCTTTAGTAGCAAGACTTAAAGCCATTTTTAAGAATAATAGATCAGCTCCTTTTTCTCTCGTCCCAAAAGGTGGATTCATTATGACAGTATCAAATGCTTTAAGTTGAATATTTTCATCAATTTTTTTTACATCACATAAAACAAAATCACATTGGCCTGAAACATCACGATCAGCAGCATTTTCTACACTCAACGAAAGAGCAGATGGGTCTATATCAAAACCTATAAAACAAATAAAACAGACAGAAATGAATAATTATAATTATTTCAAAACCATAATATAGACTGTATAATATATATGACCTGTACAATAATGAGCACCTAACAAAGCGGCACCAATAGTCAATACTCCTGAACCACATCCTAAATCAGCTACACATTTATCAGTAATGTCGCCATACACAAATTGGGCTGTATGTAGAACACAAGCGGCAATATGAGATGATGTAGTGTATTGTTCTAGTTCAATTTTTGGGTTTTCAAATGTTTCAATATCTTCAAGAGCATGCTGTAAATGCTTCAACTTCATAGTTCCCGCCGCCATGATTGAAAATTATTTTTCAATGCGAGGTAAAACAGGTAATATAGAATTACCAAAAGCTGAATCTGTACTGATGAAGAATCCTGTAGACTGTAAGGCTTGGGCACGTTGAAAGTGACTATCAGATGTTCCCTAAAAACATTACGTTAATATCAAAATTAAATAAGTATTTTAAACATAAAGATAAAAGATTTTTATTATTTTAAGAGCCAATGACATAAAATACTATGAGCCATCAATATTAGGATTATTAAATAATAAATACTATTAAAAGAGAAATTTGAGACAGTTAAAATGCTGAAATCGGGAATAGCAATGATAAGTTTTATATTCCTCATTTTGTAAAAGTTGATTTTCTCACCAAAAATCAAGGGAATTGTAAATAATTTCGCATGACATTATTTTAAACTACTACCATTTTAACCATCAACTTAGAATGTTATCAATTTGAGATATTATATGATTATTACTAATTACATAATTTAAAAATATTTAACATGGATAAGTTCTTCATGGTTAGTTAATTACAATTTGTTAGCAATATTAAATTCAATATTCATAATTTGTTTGGTAGATATCTAGCTTATATTCTTAAGAATTTGTGTGAAATCATAACATTTATAATTAACTAGAATCATTTAATAAAATAATTAAGTACAAAAAATTATCATTTGTAATAATATTTGTTATTAATAAAATAATTTATCACGCAGTATACTATAATATAATATTGTTAGATAAATAAATAATGACTGAAAACTAAGTATGATTAATTGTTTCTTAGTCTTTAAAATATATAAATCTGAAAATTTAATTAGTGTTATTATATCATATACTTTTAGTACCTTAATACAAAAATTAAGTTAATTTTAAACAAATACTTAAACATCTATTAATAATTTACACAGTATAAGTAACATTTATTTATATTATATGACTGTTAAACTATTTGAACTGAAACTACACTGTCATACTGGAGTTGTAGGATGAGAGACTGTTGGAGGAGTTGGAACAGCACCGGTTTTTAATAATATCTGTTTTTTCAGTTCCAAGTCTTCCAGAATCTTTCGATTTTGAATACCTAAAAGAACATAAGAATATTACATGAATTATTGTTGAATAATTTTAAAATATATGAAAACAGTTATGTAAATACCTCTTGCGCTTTGGGCTGGAAAAGACATTACCATATACAACTAGTTTATTTAATTTACATTAAAAACCAACGAGTAAATAAATAAACAATTTAATGGAATTTAACAAGTTAAAAGAAGACGTGATTTAGTATTGACTGTCAAAGTGTAGACTGTAGAGTGTAGACTAATGATAACTAAGCCTTCTTAAGGTAAGCATAGATAAGTGAATAATGGTGAGTGGTGAGTCTGGTAATTACTGATTGCCGAAACCGAATGCCGAATGGTTGAAATTTGAGAATATCTATTGAGTTTCAGTATCGATTACGATTCATAAATTAAGATAATTGTAAGTTGTAAGATATCTTATAATTCATAATATCAATATACTTAACTTGGTACGTGGTTATAAACTTGTTAATCGTAACTTATAGTTAACGATGATATCATTTATCATGGTTATTCAAATGATAAATATTATCACCTCCAACTTGAGAACTCTCGTGCACGACTACGATAATATACCTTACACCATGTGTAAACGATAAAATAAAAATGTGTGTAATGTACGACTGTTAACTGCACGAGATCTTAAATGGTGCTATCAAGACAATGTTATTACTTATTTTTAAAAATCAAATTTAACCTAAAAAATCGATTTTAAATTTTATAGCACCCGATCATTCGCCCGATAAATCATTATTATTTATTATTATTTATAAATTTACGTAATAATCATAATATGCGTTACAGGTTTCAAAATTTTTCTTAACGTTGCCACTAATTGTCAAACAGTGTTATGAGTTTTTGAAACATTCTTAACACTTATTTTTGTTTTTGTATGACAGTCAATTTTTCTTTCTGACAAAATTTTAACTTTAATTTTAAAATGAGTACTACTTTAGTAGATGAAGAATTGGACAGAAGTAGCATAGCAATTAATGAAAACAAGGATGATTCATTTCAGAAAATTTCTCGTATGAATTTATAACTGCCATTTAATTAAATACTTTTGAAAAATAATATAAAATTTTTATACTCATACTTAGGTCCTGTAAAGACAGTATTATATGAAGGACTTCAAGAAAAAGATGTAGGTATTACAGAATTTACAACATCTAATCCTGGAATATCTGGTATATTAAAACACAGGTGATTTAAAAACTACAATTTTTTTTTCTTTTTTTTTTTTTTGTTCGGTGGCAATAAAACATTAATCGTTTTAGGTTGTCTGATTTTCAAGTGAATGAAATTGCATTGGATGGGACTGTAATACGTCTTACAAGTCGCACTGTTCCAGAAAAAGAAGCTGAAGATCCTAATTTAGAAAGTAATTCCTTAAAATATTAATGTATATTTACTCTTGAAGTATTAATTTATTGATTGTGTTTTAGATGTTGTTGATGATACTGGCTTATGTGACAAATATTCAAAGGATATTGATGAATTGATTGAGTTGCAGAGTACCAAACGTATTCTAATAGATGTAATGCTTATAATAAAAGTAATGGTAAATATTATATTTTTAAATTTATTTATTTATCATTTTAAGGTAGATGGATTAACTAAAGAAAAGCGCAAATCAATACACAATTTATTAAAATTCAAGTATGGTTCTAAAATTAGCACTAATACTGAAAAGGATGATCAGAACAAACAGATTATTGTCATTAGATTATCTACACTTGTTAAAAATGGTTAGTTAAAGTATAAGATTATATGATTATTTTATTGTATTTTGAAAGATATGAACAAATTAAAAATATTTAAGTACTTATAAAATCAAATTACTTTGATTAATTTTAATATTATAGTATTATTACTTATTACTTTATACCTACATTTATTTTCAGATAGACAAACATGGCCTAAATCTAGACCTGAATATCTCCATTTTGCTTTACATAAATGCAACATGGACACAACAAATGTAGTGAATATTCTTTCAAAACAATTAAGGTAATATGAGAATCTTATTTTTTTTATAAATATGTGTTATTTGATTTAATATTATGGTCATATATAAATTGTGTAATTCAATCTAATAAAAGTTTATGAATAGCTACACAGGGGGAACTAATTTTTACACAAAAACAGTACTATTTTATGGCATTATCATACGATCCTATTATTTCTATAATCCTTATAATAATATTTTAAAGGCAAGCATAAAAGTAAAATTGTTATCTTTTACGGAGTGACGTGTATACATTGCAGCAATGTTTGTAGAAAATGTTCAATTTTTATTATTTCGATTTTATTGGACTTGCTAAGAATTGATTAATTAGGAATGTAGAATTATGAAATGTTTATGCATGTGTAATATATATATAATATGTTTAGATACTGTCCAAATTACTTAAAAGTCATTCATAAATATTTTGTGTTGGTTTAATAATTTGTTATGTTCCTATTGATAGAAACAATTGTGTCTATTGATCTGTATTATTGTTTCACAATGATGCTAAATTACCAATTTTGATATTATCTTTTTTATAACAAATACCCCTTATTGTTTATTTTGTAGTGCTTTATTAAGAGGGTATTAGCTCATAGAAAATTTATTTTCTCTATCTCACTCGCCTCCACAAAACAGCAAATTTTTAATCAGTAGAATAAACTTTGTGTTGTTAGGTTTAATACTAGAGTGAAAAAACTTGTCATCAAACTTAAAATTAAAAAAATTATCTTTATTCTTACATTGGGCTTTTACAATACTTCAATTTTTATGGGATTTATGGAGTTATTTTAAAATACTCATGATATTATACTTTAAAATTGAAATATCGCAAAAAAAGAAAATATAACACCAAAGTAAATGTTTTTAACTTTAAGTTTTATAATAGATCAATTTACTTTTGTTTTAAGACTAACAAAATACAGTTGATTTTCTGTTCGTAAAATTGCTTTGTTGGGCTAACATCTTCTAAATGTGCACCCCCTTGTATTTTCCTTACAGCTATCACTATAAAAATTTAAGGACTCGTATAAATTGAAATCACAAATTTGAATTAAGAAAACAACACATTTATAAGTTATCTTTATCTAAAAATCTTAAAATTGCCTATTATACCAAATGTATGTGTTCAGCAGAATTAATTTTGTATTATTAGTTTTAATATTATAGTAAAAACAATATCTTGGATAATTTTTAAGCTTAATGATTTTTGAATTTTAAAGTGAATATGAGAATTTTAAAATTCTAATATCAATTTATCTCTATTGTATGCTTTAGATAATAGTCTTTCTTTTAAATTTTATGAGCTAATTCAGTATAATGTTGAAACTAACACAAATCAATTCTCCAAAACGCAATATTGTAGTGTTATACATTTGTATTATGTAGATTTAATGACTTCTAAATCAGCGGTTCTCAAACTGGTACGTGTACCACTAGTGGTACACGAAAGACTACATGGTGGTAAGTGGAAGGCCGCATGGTGGTAGGATTTTTAATCATCAGTGGTACGCGACTGATTGATAATATATTTAAGTGGTACGTTTTAAGTTTAAGAAACGCTGTTCTAAATTATATCTATTAGAGCTCAGATGACAACTTATGGCTAAGTTAAAATTGTACATTAGTTCAACAATAATTGAAATATTATTATTTTGCTATCAAAATATTATTTTTAATATTCTAATATATAAATAAATATTTATCAAAACTTGTACTTGTTATAGAGTGAAAGTTAATACAATTAAACATGCTGGCACAAAAGATAAACGTGGAAATACAACTCAAATGTTATCAGTTCGAAAATTAAATGCTAATAATGTAGCAAAATTTTATGCCAGAAATATATGGACTGGTAACTATGTATATAAAGATTATACCCTTAAATTAGGTTCCCTAAAAGGAAATAGATTTCGTATTGTTCTAAGGTAATTTTATTCATCTATTTTAAAATTAATTTTATTCTTAAAAATAATAAATATTTCTAAATAATACTTTAGAAACTTTTAACTAATTATTATTTGTTATACATATATACTTTGTTAAACTATTAATGGTATATAAATTAATGTATATACATAATTTTATTTATATATTTGTTTGTTATTTTAGAAATATTAAAGGAAATGATGAAGAAGTATCTAATGCTATTGAAATGTTAAAATTGCATGGGTTCATTAATTATTATGGTTTACAAAGATTTGGTAGCTCAGTTGTGTCCCCTACATATGTTGTTGGGAAGTCATTGGCTTGTGGTAACTGTGAAGAGGTATAAATATCATGTATATCATTAACATTGTCTACTATATCAAAAATACTGGATATAGTTGTGTATATTTAATGCATTTTATTTTCATGTGAAGGCTATTGAGCATATTTTAAAACCTAGACCTCTGGAAAGTGCTTTTGAAAATGACACTGATCGTGCTAGATCAGTTTGGTGGAATACTAGAGATCCAAAATTGGCTTTAAAACAATTATCCAAAAAAAATTTTACAGTCGAAGCAAAAATAATACGATCATTGGCTTTTAATGGTCCTAAGGCTTATGTTAACGCTTTCCAAATTGTAAGAAAATTAATAATTATTGTGTTCATCAATATTTTTCAATTTAAAATATAATATATAATATATTCAGTTTATAAATTTGTAGATCCCAAGAAACTTGGTATTATTGTATCTTCATTCTTACCAAAGTTTAATATGGAATAAGATTGTATCACAACGTATTCAAAAGTTTGGTTTGAAGCCAATTGTGGGGGACTTGGTGTTCAAGGATAATGAGTCAAAAGAAGTACTTGATGAAGTTATTGATGGGGAAGAAATCAAAGAAGAAGACGAAGAAGAAGAAGAAACTGATGTAAATAATGTAAAATTTCCAGAAGTTGAAACAATATCAGAAGACAATTTATCTAAGTATACTATTTTCGATGTTGTGTATCCATTACCAGGTTGTGATGTAAGTTATCCAAAAAATGAAATAGGAAAATGGTATATTGATCTTTTAGCAGAAGATGGCTTAACTTCTGAAAAACTTTCAAAGAAAAACAAGTAAGTTTTTTATTCTTTATGTCATCATTACTATCTAATCAATATGTTTACTTTTTAGACTGTTTTCACTGAAAGGCACTTATAGATCTATTGTATCTAAAGCCGAAGATTTAATCTGGGCTACCATTAATCATAATGACTTAAATGATGATTTGTTATTGTCTGATATTGAAGTAATGGAAAATAAACAACCATTTATTTCTGTACCAGGTGATTAATAAAATAATATAAATAATAATTAAATTGTATGATATGACTTTAATAAAAAAAAATTATATTCTTTTACCATAGACGGTTCTTTCAAATCATTATCAATTGAATTCTCCTTGCGCCCCTCCAATTATGCTACCATGGTTGTAAGACAAATAA